CCTAGAGACAAAGAGTCATGGGCAAGCTGTTTACTTTGGAGGTGACCCAAGGAAACCCCCAAGGGAGCAGGGAGGCAGGACAGGGTAGGGGAACAGCAGCAGAGCTTTGGTTCATAGGTAGCGACTGCCTGGGGCACCTGGGGTTCAGTCCCACTGGGGACATCTGGGCATCAGCATAGAGCTGGCCTCAGAGTTATCCCAGGGAAGGAGTGAGGGAGCTGGGGTATTTATACACCAAATCCCTTGTCCACTGTTGGCAGTGGGCTGATTCTGTTAGAGCCACAGAGATTCACAGTAAATGATCTTTCTTGAGGCACATCAGGGGATGAAGAGGGGGCACCAACAATTATAAGGGGTCACCAAGGTTTCAGATTTAGATGTTGATTTAAAGGCTGATCATCTGCATGAGGATTTGAAAAAACAATCTACAGGTGTGTTAAACATAACAGCAGTGTCAATGGAGCAGAAGGGCAATGAATGGAAAGTAATTCTTCCCTGGAGTCCAGTTCCCAGTCCCTCCCCAGAGCGCTGGGTGAATGTCTCAGGAGCCCTCCTGATGTCTTCTTTCTGTATCTGAGCAGATGCAAAGAAAAGACCTGCTTTCCTTACTCAGTGGTAGCCTGCTATTGATGCCTCCAATGTTTTGCCCTTTTCACTCAGCAATTACCTTGGAATTCATTCCTGTCCATAGACATGGTGATGCCTCATCCTTTTTATTTACCATGGCAGCATAGGACATAGTACTCCAGTGTGTGCACATGGTACTCCAGTGTGCAGACATGGTACCCCAGTGTGCGGACATGGTACCCCAGTGTGCGGACATGGTACCCCAGTGTGGGGACATGGTACCCCAGTGTGGGGACATGGTACTCCAGTGTGCGGACATGGTACTCCAGTGTGCGGACATGGTACTCCAGTGTGCGGATATGGTACCCCAGGGTGTGGACATGGTACTCCAGTGTGTGGACATGGTTCTCCAGTGTGGGGACATGGTTTTCCAGTGCGTGAACATGGTACTCCAGTGTGTGGACATGGCACTCCAGTGTGTGGACATGGTGCCCCAGTGTGGGGACATGGTATTCCACTATGTGGACATATCATGACTTATTTAATCTGTCTTCTAATACTGGGCATTTTGGTGGTTTCCAATCTTTTGTTACTACACACAAGGGTGTAACAAAATGTTTATCTCTGTACAGAGGCATGAATTGACCCATTGGATAAATCCCTAGAAGTGGAATTTATTTGGTAGAATCTTATGTTTTTAAGTTTTTGGCAAATACTGTCCAAACACTTTTGAAAGAAGTTGACTGATTTGACGTTCCTGTGGCAGGAGCCCACGGGGTGCATGGCTCAGATGTCCCTCATGTCAGGAGAAACCCTTGCTGTGGGGTGAGGGTGGCTGGTGCCTCCAGCTTCCAGTGCCCTCTGGCTCTGCCTCAGCTCTCCAGCCAAGGCCCCATGTCTCCGGGGCAGCTAATGCCTAGCATGGCAGAAACACAGGGCCCCTCCATTTCTGCCTAGCAGGGGCGTCCTCTTGGGGGCACCTTCAGTCTGGGGCTATCAGTCAGCATGGCTGAGACATCCTCTGAGATGCACTGCAGCCTGAGACTCTTGCTACCGCATGCTCCTTCCTGCCCTTCTCCTCTCACGGGTGTTGGACCAGCATCGCAATCTGAAGGCTCCCCCATGCCCTCCAGCTCCCACTTCGTTTTATGCAGTGCACTGGCACCACCTCCCTAATACATAGCTCACATTCCTGACTGCATCGTGGCATTCCTTCCCGAGGACCTGCTGACACCCACTGACAATGTGTGAGGATGGGCTTCTGATGGGACTCGGTGAGCAGGGGTCTATGGCTAAGTGGTTTCTGAGCTCCCAAGCTTATCCAAATCTCTCACTTTATAATGGGAAATCTGATGCCCAGAGAGGGGAAGCCACTTGCCTGAGGCCACACACTCGGGTGGCAGAACCAGGCCACACCCAAGTGCCCCCTCAATCTCAGATACCAGCTGACCTTGATTGTCCCCACTGCCGGCCAAAACCAAGCCTGGAGCAGACATGGGTGGCCTGGATTACCTCTCCTGCTTTCCAGCCCTTCTCAGGGACAGGGTTCAAAGTTCCCTAAAATGTGTTGGGGAAATTGCATCCCAGTTTTTGGAAAGCCTGGCCAATTTCTTCCCATGCAGCCATTCCTGCGTCAATACGGGCTATGCACAGATGCCAGTGCCAGCTCCCACTCCTCCGTGGTCAGCCAAGCAGGGACCAGAACTCAGAGAGAAACACTTATCAGAGGAGCAGAGGGGGTGAGGGAGGTGAGGAGGGAGACAGTAGGCCACAGATTCTCATCACGTTTTCCCCTCCTGCGCTTTCAGGGGCTTAAACAGTAATAAAAGAATGTGCGATTGTCAGCATAAATCAAGAAAATCGGAATTCTGCTGAGCCAGGGAGAACATTGGACTTGAAAGGGCCATGTGCTAAATGTGAAAGGAGCCCTCGGAAATATTCCTGGAGGCCTCTTTCCTGCCCAGCTAGCTTGGGACTGAGCTAGGTCACCTAGAATCAGGGTCTGCACACGGGCTGGTGCCGAGGGTGTGGCCTCAGGGCTCAGGGCAGCCGCATTTGGGCTTGGTTGTGCCCCACCTGGTATGGCCCGGCAGGCAGCTGGGCAGGTGGGTCCTGGCACCAAGATGAGTGAGGGAGGGAGGGACGAGGAGATGGTGTAGAGATAGGGTCCTCACCATACATACTTCTGTAAGCCCCCAGAGGGCAGAGCCATAGCTCATCTTTTATTCATCTCTAAGTTTCTCTCAACGCTTAGCATAAGGGAACTCCTGCATGTTGGATGTTTGCTGACTGAGTGAATAAAAGAAATAGAAAGGCAAGGAGGGAAGAAAGGGGGAAGGAGGAGGGAGGGGAGGAGGGAAGGAGAGAAGGGAGGGAGGGAGGAAGAAGCAAACCCCTGTATTAGTCCGTTTTCACACTGCTTTAAAGGTGCTACCCAAGACCAGGTAATTTATAAAGGAAAGAGGTTTAATTGACTCACAGTTCCCATGGCTGGGGAGGCCTCAGGAAACTGACAATCGTGGCAGAAGGCGAAGAAGCAGCAAGGACCTTCTTCACAAGACAGCAGGAAAGAGAAGAGCCCAGGGGAAACCACCAAACACTTAAACCATCGGATCTCATGAGAACTCACTCACTATCAGAGATTTAAAACCATCGGATCTCATGAGAACTCACTCACTATCAGAGATTTAAAACCATCGGATCTCATGAGAACTCACTCACTATCAGAGATTTAAAACCATCGGATCTCATGAGAACCACTCACTATCAAAGATTTAAAACCCATCCGATCTCTGAGAACTCACTCACTATCAGAGATTTAAAACCATCGGATCTCATGAGAACTCACTCACTATCAGAGATTTAAAACCATCGGATCTCATGAGAACTCTCTCACTATCACAAGAACAGCCTGGGGGAAACCACCCCCATGATCCAATCACATCCCACCAGGCCCTTCCCTCCACACGTGGGGATTATCGGGATTACAATCCGAGATGAGATTCGGGTGGGGACACGACCAAACTGTATCACCCCCAAGTGCTTTTTCCTGTTGACCGTGAGTCATTTTAATTAGGCACTGGCCTAACCTTTCGGCTCAGCAGCTGGGACCCAGCCACCTGCCCCAGCACCCCGTGGGTGGACATAGCCACGGCCTGCAGCAGACGGTCCTGAGGTCAATGCCCCAGCTGTGGACCCACAGATACCCCCAATGGAGAGCGGAGACCATGCCTCGGTTTCCACACTGGCCCCAAGCTTTGCAGAGGAGCGGCCCTTTGTCCAGTAGCTACGTGGTGATCATCGACATCCAGGCTGTCCTCGACTGGACTAGCGCCATTCATGGTTCTTATCCCTTCCATGTCCACGTGCTGGGGTACCCCTGAGCTTAAACCCATGCATCAGCCTGAGGAAGAACCTTAGTCTGAGTCTCCCACATCTGCACAGGCTCTGCTTCTCCTTCTGGGCTGCGGCGTGAGAAGGTGGGTGTATGACGCGGGCCACAGCCACATCCTGTGTCTTCATATAGTCAGCTGCAAAACGCACCAACAGGCAGAGAAATGCCACCAGGTGTGTGTGATCAGCAAGGTGGCCATGTGGCTCCGAGACTGAATCATCTCTCCACAGTGCTCCTTCCCGTCTGCCCCAGCTGAGAGCATCGCCCCTGAGCAATCCAGTCTTTAAATCCCACCGGAACTTAGAAAGCTTCTATTTCAAAACACAGGACTGTGAGCTATCTATTGAAACAATGTCACCGTTAAGCTGCGCTGTCTGTGGCCTATTGGAATGATATCTTTCAGTGTAGTCCAGCGAATGTCCCTCGCTAACCAGGGCACTGAAATGGAGAAGGCAGCAGCTTAGTGAGTCCTGAGAAGCGGATCTAAGGCTTGCCAGAGGGATGTGCAGAGGGTAGGACAGGGTTTCCGGGACCTTGACGATGGAACAGCGAAGACAAGTGTCTCTGTTCAAACTGGCTTGTCTCAGCTGTCACACGGACTGACCTTAACCCACCACAGTGGTTGGGAGGATCTAAGATGAAAATATCCCCCCACCCGTCTCTGAGCCTTCGATGGGGGCGGGTCTGGGAAATCAGGTGAGTCTAGGTCCCCAAACCAGGCCCCCCACAATTGGAGCCTCCTCCCTGGTGCTGGGAGGTTAGGTGTGGCACACGTGTGTGTGTATCTGTGAAGATGTGCAGTGTTCGCATGGATGGGGTGCATATGTATTATTGCTGTTGCCTTTTAAAAATTCAGATGAAATTCACGTAGCAGAAAAGTAACCATTTTAAAGTGAACAACTCAGTGGCGTTGAATGCATCAGGGTGTTGTGCGGCCATCACCTCTACGCAGTTCCAAACTGCGCCTGTGCCCTGTGTGTTCAGGGAGTGGAGGACGCGTGGGTGTGCGTGTCTGTGGACATGGGGGTGTGTCTCGGGCATGCATGTGCTAGCCCGAGGGGTTTGCCGAGCAGCCACACGGGCCCTTAAGGTAAAGCTGTCAGCCCCGCTCTTATTCCTGCCTCTCCCTGACCGTTTATTTGTTCTTGTCAGGGGACAGTGAGTGACATTTTGTTTGCTGGATGCATTTGGCTGTGAGTGACAGCTGCGGGGGGCCTGCTGCTCCCCCGCCCGCTCTGGGAGAGGACCCGGCGCCCCCAGGTGCAGTGGGAGGCTGACCTCTCCACCTGTGGTTCCATGGCTATCCTCCTCCCCACGGGCAGCTGGCCTGGCCTCCTGGGGACTTGGCTGGGGACAGGCTGGCTGGGCTGGCGCTGCTGTCCTTGGGGTGTTGGTCCCCTCAGCTCCTCTCAGCCTGGGTCCTGGTACCTGTGAGGAAGGAGCTGTGTGGCCCCTGCTCATGCCACTCTTTGGAGAGGTGGGCACATTTCAGGTTTCAGCCAGTGCTACCTGGAGGAGACATCCCCGCCGGGGTCAGGGCTGGGGGCTGGATGCAGCTCAGCTAAAAAGACATTTGATATCATTTAACTGAGTTGCCACTTCAAGGGGAATTAAGCTCTAATGTCAGCACGTAAGCTCCCAATTAAGAACTGTATAGAAAAAATAATCCTTGAAAGAACAGTTAAATCATCTATAAATCATGCTGCTTCCGCTGTTGAACCAGCAGAAGCAGCGGCTTCCACAGAGGCTCATAGCACACTGTAAGGATAAGTCTACAAACCGGGAATTCACATTCGCCTTCAGGGCTTCAGGCTGTGCTTTCTGGGTGGCCACGGGATATGGGAAAGGACGGATCTCCAGTTTCATCTCCAGGCGTTAAGTCCACTGGGTGAAGCAGAGGGCAAAGCCCCCAGGCTTTTAGAATCATTTTCCCCCTCTACCTCTCTGCCTTACCTTCTCTCTGTGTCTCAACCCCTCTCTGTCTTCCTTTCCCTCTCCCTGTCTCTCTGTCTTTGTCTCTGTCTTACCCCTCTTTGTCTTCCTCTTTCTTTCCCGTCTCTCTCCTCAATACCTAGAAGCGAATTCACATGCACATAGGACACGATGCCAACATAAAATAATTTCATGTTTGGAATTTACCCCCCCTCCCGCTTCAGTAGAGAGTCCAATACTCAGCTACAACCCGTTGCGGCCACAGCCGAATGCTGGCCTGGGCTGGCCATATCTTCCTGCATTTCAAGAGAAGCCAGAAGTTTGAAATGGTTGGCGACATCTCCCATGTTTAGAAAAATGTGGCTCAAATTAAAAATAAAACATAAAACTACACAAAGGAGAGCAGCAGAAGCTGCTCCGAGGTCCCGAGCGTGACCTCCGTGGGATGGGCTCTCCCCGGGAGGGCTTCTGGGAAGCTGATCCTTCCAGGGAGGGCCGCGGTTCCCCCGAAACTCGGCCAGCCCTGGTTCCTTCCTTACCTCCTCTGCCCCCTCGCCCCTCACACAAACGGCAGAGGGTGTCGGCCCCCCTGTCTCCAGATGCCATTACCATTGCCAGCTGCGGGCAGCGGCCACTGTGAGCGGCTGGACCTGGGGGCCAGTGGTCTGGGAAAAGTGTCATCGAAGGTGCAGTCCCCTTTCCACCATCCAAAGGGGATCACCCTGAGTTTGGATTTGAGAAGTCTTGGCATGGGGATTTTTAAATTACCCCTTAGATTGGCTGCGTTATTATTTTTGGCAATCGATGTCATTTGAAAGAATGGCCATTTCTTCTAGCTAACAAAAATGGCAACTGGGCAAGCAGGACCTGCCCAGGTGGAGGAGAGGTTGAGACCACACCCACGTTGGGGCAAACCTGTGTCCAGGTTGCCAGTTTGAAGGATATCCATTCCTGCAATTAAGGATTGGGGTGCACATAGCAGCACTACCCATAGGAACCCCAGGTGAAAGCAACTCAAACGCACACCACAGCAGAATGGGTGATTAAATGTGCCTGTTCCCAGCACGGAGCCTGCTACAGCCTGGAGATGAATAATCCACAACCGTAGAGCGGCTGAGCTGAACAAGCCAGACATCCAAAGTACGTGTTGTTTTCCATGAAGTTCAAAGCAAGCAGAACTAACCAGGCATGTTAGGTTGAGGGCATTCTCTCCGGGAGCACAGCAGGGGACAAAACCGCACAGACTCCTGCCCTCAGGGACTTATATTCTGGAGGGAGGACTCAGACAATAAAATCAGTAAGTGAAGTACACAAACATGAGCACATGGGGAGAAAATGGTGTAGAGGGGATGGGTGTGGGATCTGCATTGTAAATAGAGATGTCACTGAAGGCTGCAGAGAGGGCGGCATTGTAAAAGTAAAAGCCTATGGAAGGGAAGGTGGGAGCCATAGAGATATCAGGAGAAGAGCATGCCAGGAGAGGGAGCAGAAAGAGCAAGGGTCTTGAGGCAGGTTGCTTGTGGAGGAATAAGAGATGAGCCTGACTGTGATGTGGTGAGTGGGAGCAGTGGAGAGGAGGGAGTTTCAAAGGGGTAAGGGGGAGTGGGGACAGCAGAGAGCCCTGGGAGCCTGTAAAGACTTTAGCTTTGACTCTGAGGGACAAGGGGCTGTGGCAGGGTTCTCAGCAGAGGGATGGCCCCTTCTGCTCAGGATTTACAAGGGCCACTGTGATTACTGGGCTAAGGGTAGTGTGCAGGTGGACAAGGCAGGGGAACAGGAAGACAGAAAGGAGGCCAACACAATGCTCCAGGGAGATCCAGGCTGGAGGTGCTAGCAGCCTGGGCTAGGTGGCTGTGGATTTGCAGGTGGAAGAAGTGGACCCACCTGGGCCAGGCTGCAGCACTGGGTGTACAGAACCAGGCAGTGGATGTGTGGGTGGGATGGATGCCACTGGAGGTGCCTGCTAGGAGGTTAGGCCAGAGACCTGAGTTCTGGACTTGGAAACAGTCAGACAGTAGGTGAATGTCTGGGAGCTGTGGGGTGGGCCTGAAATAGTACAAGGAGGAAGAAGAGGGCCAGGGACCAAGCCCCAGGAAACCTTCATATTTAAGGATTGGCAACGTGACCCCGTGGGGCGAGCTACAGAGGCAGGAACAAACCAGGAGCTGAGTGACGGAACAAGGCCATTCTCACTCTGAGACCTTCTGTGGCTCACATCTTCCTCTCTTTTCCCTAGTCCGGAAGCTCCATGAGGACAGGGGTGGGTCCATCAAGTCCTCTGTTAGGTCCCCATAACTGAGCGCAGGACTTGGCCCAGGAGGGATGTAGCAGACCTTGTCAGATGAATACACACCAATGTGGCTAATCGAGGTAACAAGACAATGACTGCCCATCAGGGTCTGTGGCTGGTGAGGAAGTAGCACGTGCATTCTGTAGGCTGCAAGTCTCAGCCCGTGCACACCAGGAGGCTCAGTGGCCCGTCACGCACGTTGGTGGGAAGGAAGGACAGCTAGTCCAGCGTCTGTCAGGTCGTGCCAGTGTCCTCCCATCTCATGCAGACACGGGCTCAGCCAGGCCACCACCAGAGCCTCCCCTGCGGGAGCCACATCTGCTCTGCCTGTGCTCTTTCCCCGTTTTTTGCAAACTGTTTTTATTTTGCCATCCAAAAGACACAATTGGGACTTCTGTGTCAACGCAGATACGCACCCTCCCCTCAGATCCTGGTTCAATGTTGAACTCATAAGCCAGGCTAAGTTAAAAAAAGCAAAATGTGTCTGACTTGATAGCTGGCTCTGAGTGCAATGGAAAAAGCCAAAAATAAACACTGTAAGTTGATGACATCCGTACCATCCATGGGCACGGGGCCCAGGCTGGGGCCAAAGCGAGGGAACAGTGTACAGCCCATCGGGGCTTCCTAAGGCAGTCTCAGGCCCCAGCTGACCATGAGGGTGCAGTGCTCTGCTACGGCCACCAGCCTCCCTCAGGCACCAGGGACCTTCACGCCCAGGTACTGTGATGCCAGGCACTCAAGCCTCCTGCCTTTGTCTGCTTGCCAGAGAACCACTGCCTGGGGCAGCCTGAATCCTCCGATTTTGCTTTTCCTCCCTGGTATTTTTCTTGCCATCTGAGAGGTGCCAGTACCCCTGTGGGGTGAGTTTTGAAAATGGCTTTGTCTGGACAACAGAAAGTCACAGCAATGCTGATGGCGTACGGTTACCTTGGTGACTAGAGAAGAGTTTGCTCTCTCCTAATTCCACGGATGAGGAAGGGGTACTGGGGAGTCTTACCTTTTCCCTGCACGACTGTTGCTGGCCTCGCCTCCTTGGGCACTCTTCCCCACAGTCTGGGTGTCCTGCGACCGCCTTTGGTTACCATTTTGATGAATATTTTCTTGGAATCAAACTTTGAATTGACATGACACCCTCTTCTTTGTCTTTTTACTCAACTTTATTCTAAACAACACAATTTGTGTTGGTTGTGGATCTTTTTCTTAAAACACAGTATTATAAATAGAAGGAAGGACAGCTAGTCCAGCGTCTGTCAGGTCGTGCCAGTGTCCTCCCATCTCATTCAGACACGGGCTCAGCCAGGCCACCACCAGAGCCTCTGTAAAAGTAAAAGCCTATGGAAGGGAAGGTGGGAGCCATAGAGATATCAGGAGAAGAGCATGCCAGGAGAGGGAGCAGAAAGAGCAAGGGTCTT